CCCCCCCCCCCCCAGAGTTTTCTGTAAATAACTTTTCGAGCTTTACTGAAAAGATGACAATCACTGTTTAGGTTTTTGAAACGTGCCCACTGTTCCTTCCTGGTTCTCCAACCAAACAGGGTAAACTCTTTTTTCCACATCAGTAGGTTCAAACCCTGGGCTTTTACATGTAAAACGTGTGTCCAGTATATACAGACACATCCAGGTGAGGACAAAACCCCATCACTTCCGCGGGTGCAGAACAGATTTTGCAGCTTTATAAACTGTGTTCTCTTTTCATGGCTTCACAGCACATTATTTTTTGCCTTCATACTGGTGGTAATAACAAAATTAGTGGCCGCTTGGTGAACTTTCGGGCACACCGGGCACTTCCTGTCTCTTATCTGTCTGTGTGTAACAACTCTATGAGCCACGGATCAGCTTTCTATTTCACAGGTGAGTAAACAGAAGCAGAGCCAGACCTGATAATCAGCTCTCCTGTCTCATGCTGACATCGTTCCTTAGCTCTATACCGCCCTGTACAGCAGGGTCCACGTGCTGTCCCATCGGGCTCCTGGGGGTGAAGAGAGGCCCTGGGAGACTGACCCACGTGGTCAGCCTGGCCACCAAGCTTCCGCCAGGCTAGGGGTTTCTCACCAAACCCAGGGGCAGAAGAAATGTCAACATCCAGGCAACCAGACAGGAAGGTCAGGGGTTCAGCAAGCCAAGGGCAGTGGAAACACCTATGACAGCAGGGATTTGGAGCCAGAAACGATGATGATGATGATGATGATGAGGTGGATGGCAGGCCCTAGTTGACGGCATGCCTGCGGTGCTATGGGGACAAAACGCTGCCCCAAGGAAGAGGATGGCCCAGAGCAGCTGGCAGCAAATACACATACCTTTGAAGTGTCCTTTAAATGTTTGTTTATTTATTTTGAGAGAGAGAGACAGAGTGTGTGCCATGTGAAGGAGGGGAGTGGGCAGAGAGAGAGAGAGGGAAAGAGAGAATCCCAAGGAGGCTCCCCACTGTGAGCACAGAGCCCGACACAGGGCTCGAACTCTTGGACTGTGAGATCATGACCTGAGCCGAAACCAAGAGTCAGATGCTTAACTAACCGAGGCACCTGCGGTGAGAGCACAGAGCATGCTTGGGATTCTCTCCCTCCCTCTCTACTTCCCTGCTCACACATGTGCAAGCTCTCTCTCTCTCTCTCTCTCTCTCTCTCTCAAAGTAAATAAATAAATAAAAACATTACAAAAATGTTTTTTAGTTTTAAAAAGTGCCGATTCGGTATTTGATTTCATAATATATCCATATGTTTTCATATAACACCTCCCTCTCCTGACCAAATCCGCGAGCGTAAGACTCCCCAGGAGGATGGCCCTGTTTATCCTGTGACTTCCCGGCCCAGGGACATAGCGATGCTCCCCTGTCCTCCCACGGCCCCATGAGAGACAGGCACCGGGGTTGCCCAGGGGTCCTGACCCTTGGTGGTGGTTCTCCACGTTCCCGTTCGTCTGGAGCCCACGTCATACCGATGTGGATCGGGTAGATCTCAATTTCATCAAAGTAGTTGAAGACGGTCTCGTCTTCCGTATTGATGTTGCGGTAGCTGCCCAGAGACCGGAGGAAGCGGTCCTGGCTGTAGTGGGTCCCCGCCACGATGCTCTCGGGAAGGTTCATCACCCGCTCTTTCAGGAACTCATCTGACGCGTCCAGCGCACAAACGAATTCTGGGGAGACAAGGAGCCTCCTGAGTCAACCCAAGGACGAAAGGGCTGAGTGGAGGGCACTGGAGGCTGAGCCAACGCCTCACCGTGGTGTCTGGTGACCAGCCTGGACCGCTTGACAAGATTGGCCTTCTCGCCGCCTCTCTCGAGGACAAATAGATACAAATCCCTGGCATTTCCAGAGACCACCCTACGAGGCCCGACCAGCTGGTCTTTTGTGAGAGCTGTTATTTTCCTATTTCCCCCCTTTCTTCCTTCTTCTTTCTTTCCTTCCTTCTCCTTTTAATAAAAGCAGCCGAAATTGGAAACAGAAAATCTCTAATGATAAATAATAGCAAATCTGATAGCAAAGAGCAGCAAATCTAATCGTGGACTAAAAACAAAACCGATGACAAAAAGCAGAAGAATTGGAATGAGCGCATCTCTGATGACCCTGAGACATCGTTAGGCTCCCAGCCGCCCCCCCTGCCCCCTGCCTCTTTCCCAGCAAGGGCGTCATGGGCTCCCAAAGAGGCTAAGCAGCTGACTGAAATGATGGCCAATTTAGCAAATTAATAAAAACGTGGACACCCCTTGGGATTTTATTTCTTATTTTTTAAAGCGTATTTATTTATTTTGAGAGAGAGTGAGTGAGAGCAGGGGAGGGACAGAGAGAGATAGACAGAGAGAATCTCGGGCTGATTCTACACTGTCGGTGTGGAGCTGGATCCCGGGCTCGAACTCCAGAACAGCGAGGTCGTGACCTGAGCCAAAATTAAGAGTCTCAGATGCTCAACAGACTGAGCCACCGAGGCGCCCTGCTTTGGGATTTTAATTTCCCAAGGATGCAGTTCTTTTCTCAATGCGATCGGCTGGGAAACAATTGGGTCCACTACAACCCGGTGCTCATCTTATGTTTGAGTTATATTAATGATGGGGATCATTTCGCCCCCCTGGGATTTTCTTTTAAACTATGAAAACAGCTGTTCCTCCAACTCCTAGTATAACTTCAGTAGATATTTGTTGAGTGAATGAATGATTCAAATGCATATCAGTGAAATGGACTTTCTAGGTGAGTTACTGTTCTCAGATGTTCTCAACGCGGTCAGAGCACACAGGTGCCCAGATCATTAGCCAGGTGCATTGCCAACAACTGGCTCCCTGTAAGAGCCTGGCAAAGCCTGGAAATGGTTAAATTTGCATTCTAAACTTGTATTGCTGCCCTGTGGGCCAAATCTGGCCCATCACCTGATTTTGTAATGAAAGTTTTATTGGAACTTTTAAAAATTAATTAACTAATTGATTCATTGTATTGGTTTGCCGCGTAATCATGCCATTGGCACCTAACTGCATTCTGATAAGGCTTCCCGAGCGAGAGCAAGGTAAGTGTGCTCAGCAGTGGGGCAGCGGAACCCTTTTGAACATCGTCTGCTTCGTGCGTTAACAGTGAAAAGAAAGGCTGAGGTCTGAGACTGCCACTATTCTGACTGATTTTAATTTAGCTCAGGTGCTCATCTTTGATCATTTGATTTACATTAGTGGCTATATGTTAAAAGAGGTGGCACCTGGGTGGCTCAGTCGGTTAAGCGTCCGATTCTTGGTTT